CCATCATTGGGGTAGGGCTGCTTGATTATGGCAAAAATCATAATCTCGATTATTTGGGTCAATAATTGTAATTGCGATTATTAAATGCGATTATTCATTGACTTTGAAAACATCCATTTATTGTACTTTAAAACAAATACAAATAATAATTGAACTTTTTAACTGTTGAATTATACGTTCAGGGTAATCAACTGAAAAACCAATACAAAATAAAATAAATGATACATTCATGTCTACATTTAAATAAATAATATCAAAATACACTGTGCACTGTCACAACCTGAAAACTCCTTAACATATCGCCAACATTTTGGTAAAACATATTCCACTCACTCCACTGGGTCAATAATTGATATCACGATTATTAAAAACGATTATCCATTTACTTTGAAAACATCAATCTATTGGAGAAAAAACATTTTAACGGTTGATTACCCTGAACGTTAAGTATAACTCAACTGAAGAAAGTGATAATATAAAAAAAAAATCGTTTTATTTCGATTACGTTGTTTTCGTAATCGTTGCAAGCCATAATCATAATCGCGATTAAAATACGATTAATTGAGCAGCCTTACATTGGGGTTTTAGGAATAACCAACCTCACACAGAAGGAAGGAGCTAAAAGAGGGAAAGGAAAAGCGTGCATTTCAAAAAGAGACGGGTCATTTTTGTCATTGAACCAAACAAAGAAATTGAGAAAAATGACGATGCATCCCCGTCTGTCTCGTACTGCCTGAACCACACATCTTATATAATGATATATTGTCTTCTGTTTTACTAAACTCTGCTCTGCTGCTGGTATTGATCTAACAGGCTGGGCTACTCCCACCTGTAGAGTAGAATACACACATACTCACGATGCTCACACACACATCTCGCTGTTTGAGTCCTGAGCTGACCAGTGTTATGGAAGAGTTCATTATGTAAGCAGCTCTCTGGGCACAAAGGGCCTCATTCAGGGGCCCCCGGTCACCCTCTGATAAACACCACTGACCTGTTCACTTCCCACCAACACAAGAGCCTTGTTTGCTAGCTTTTCTGTTTAAGAAATACACAACTAAAGTATTTACCAGGGCAGAAGTGTTTGGGAGAATGAGTTTTCAGAAGATCAAGGTTGAAGCACAGAAAGAAGTTCACTTTTATTGTGAAAATGGAAATTCAAGGTTCACATGGATCTAAACTAAAGTGCAATATAAACGCTTGTGTTGTCTGTTTTTAAACGACAACACATATATTTTTAGATTAGCTTTTTATTAGCGACACCCTCCTTTAAATGGTCTCTCAGTCTTACGGCTCGTCCACACGGCGGCGTGCGTTGAAGCTTCAACGCTTCTGCCCATTCACTTTGAATGGGGTGACGTCACGCTTTGCCGAACTGCATTGTGGGAGCTTCGCGTTGCTCGCTTCAAAAGTTGAGCAATGTTCACATTTTGAAGCTTCGACGGAAGCGTCAGCCAATCAAATCATATGCCAGTACGAGCTCTAGCCAATCAAACCGCGTGCTTGTGTGTCCGGGGCGGGAGATTCATGTGATTGGTTGTTGGTCGAGCTTCAGACACGCCCGCCGGCAAGCGTCAACGCACGCCGCCGTGTGGACGCTGCGTTAGTACTTTTATATTGTGTTATTTATTTTATAGGTCTTAAAGGTTTATATCTGATATTAGTTATTCAACAGTTTTAATAGCAACATTCCCCTTTTTACGCTTGTCTTTTAATATTTTAATTGTTTCATCTTTATTACAATTATGACATTTTTATTACTATTATCTTTTTATTTTATAAGGTTTTATATTATTGCATCAATTCATTATTTATTTTATTGTATTTTATTGTTTATTATCATAGCTTTTGTCTCTCAACCTGATCAAATGTTATATTTTGCTGCATGGACCTTTTAAAGTTCTTTACAAATAATCTGAGGGGAATTTCTTGTTGTGTTTTTAACTTGCGATGTGTCATTTTGTAAAGCACTTTGAGCCGCATGTGTTGGATGAAATAGAGCTTTATTAGTATTGTTTTCGCAGGACACACATTCACAAACCCACCACCAACCCAAACCCGTCCAAATTCGCTCAGAAGTTTGGAGGTTCGGAGAAATGTGGCCGATGCGGAGACTCTGTGTTCGCAGCGGAGAAGATCATGGGGGCGGGAAAGGTGAGGGATTCTGACGATGTTTGTGACATTTATTTTAAAGGTCACCTATCATGCTATTTCTAGGCAATAGCATAGGTCTCAGATATATACAAATATATAAAAAACATGTCTATGAAGTGTTTCGCTCAAAATACCAAACAGATCATTCTAGCCATGCCTCATATCCCTCTATTTCACTTCCTGTTTCAAAAGTACTGATTTGGGGAATACATTTTTTTTTTTTAAATGATAAAGCTTGATACAAAAATAAAAAGGAGGGGTCTGAGCTCATGCAGGTCTCCCTTGGAAAAAGAGATCATTGATCTCAATGGGATTTGACCTGTATAAATAAAGGTTTTGAATTTAATTGAATTGAATGCGGGACCCGGCAGCTACTGTCTAAACTAAATGCTGCTGTGATGAAACGCCATATCATGGATTATCAAGGATCTGAAACAGTATGGAGCTCAAAGGCTTTCTCTCTTGCTGGTTATACCACAAGGTGAGTTCCTTTTTACTTCCTGCTTCTTCACACACATGCTCTCCAGTACAGGTTAGCTCTGAGTGTTAGCGATGCTAATGTAAACACCGACCATATTACGTCCAAAACAGTCGTGCATTGTTTCTGATAGCAACGTTTCTGATTGGGCCGTGGGTCCACATTTCAGATATTACGTCATATCGGACGCAAATCTGGATCAGCTCCGTTGTTCCCCGTTTTTAGAGATTTGGGTACGGAGGAAAAGAGAGAGGGTTTTATCTTCTGACGCTGCGTGAGTTCCCCGACACACCGGGGACACATGGTGATGTAGATAAGACATCAACAAGTGCATTTTGCATGATAGGTCCCCTTTAAGTGTGTTTCCTGTAGCTGAAGGCATGTAAATACACACATTAGCTGTATTACTGCAGCTGTTAATGCAATTCTAACCTGTGATGTGTTTAATGAGGACATTCAAAAGGGTTAAACGATCACATATGCTGGAGGAAACATCAGCTTTTATCATCTGTAAATAACTTCAAACACAACATATTTTCCTGTCTGTAAATGAATGTATATTTAGCGTAAAATCATGACTTAAAAAGCTGTAACATTAAGTCCTCTTTCTCCTCGTAGCCGTGGCATAAGAACTGTTTCCGCTGTGCAAAATGTGGCAAAAGCCTGGAGTCGACCACTCAGACGGAGAAAGACGGAGAGATCTACTGCAAAGGTGAGATACTGAGAGAGAGGGCAAAAGTACACACATCCTTTCCTCAAGTAGAAGTACAGATACTCGTGTTTTAAAATACTCTGGTGAAAGTAGAAGTACTGACTAAACTTCTTTACTCAAGTCAAAGTAAAGAGGCTTTGAAATGTACTTCAGTAAAAAGTACCCATAACTAGCAGCTGTTTTAAAGAGTACCTGACCTCCCTTTATATTAATAGAACAATAATGTCATTGTTAGCTAATGAATGTTTCCATGCTGAACAACGGCAACATGACAACGTTTCCATTGGTCCCTCTTCTTTAGAGAAGACCAGGAAATGATGGATACACGGATCGTGTTCAAATCAATAGGCACGCAATGACTCTAAAGAATAATGATCACGCATCAAACACACATTCAGACTAAAGGAACCAGCTGTTTGGAAAATGTGAGAAGTAGAAAGTTCAGGTTCAACATGTAAGAAGTAGAAAGTACAGGTATTTGAGTTCAACATGTGAGAAGTAGAAAGTACAGGTATTTGTGTTCAACATGTAAGAAGTAGAAAGTACAGGTATTTGTGTTCAACATGTAAGAAAGTAGAAAGTACAGGTATTTGTGTTCAACATGTAAGAAGTAGAAAGTACAGGTATTTGTGTTCACATGTGAGAAGTAGAAAGTACAGGTATTTGAGTTCAACATGTAAGAAGTAGAAAGTACAGGTATTTGTGTTCAACATGTAAGAAGTAGAAAGTACAGGTATTTGGGTTCAACATGTAAGAAGTAAAAGTACAGGTATTTGGGTTCAACAGGTAAGAAGTAGAAAGTACAGGTATTTGGGTTCAACATGTAAGAAGTAGAAAGTACAGGTATTTGAGTTCAACATGTAAGAAGTAGAAAGTACAGGTATTTGTGTTCAACATGTGAGAAGTAGAAAGTACAGGTATTTGGGTTCAACATGTAAGAAGTAGAAAGTATAGGTATTTGTGTTCAACATGTAAGAAGTAGAAAGTAGTCAGGAAAATAAGTAGTGGAGTAAAGTACTGATACCAGAAACATGTACTTAAGTACAGTAACAAAGTATTTGTACTCCGCTACCTCCCACCTCTGGATAGTGATACACACGCAGAGATACAGGTGTGTTATTATGGCGTGTAAAGAGATAGAGGAAGAGTTCCTGCCTCACGCAGAGCTGCTTCCTGTCCTCCTCTTCCTCCTCCCTCCTCTTCCTCCTCCCTCCTCTTCCTCCTCCCTCCTCTTCCTCCGCTTAAACAGAACCAGACGTCAGCAGATGTTTTTGCTGCATGTCATAAAGAAACCTTGGACTGATGAGGAGGAATGTTTCTGTGAGTCAGAGGGTTCGTAACATCCTGACTCTAAACAGCAGGTGTTGGGATGGGACATTTGCAAAGAAAAAGAAAGGTCTTTACAAAGCCCTAACCAGGCTTGGGGAGTAACAGATTGTAACGGGTAACTGTGTTCCCCTTACAGTTACAATAAATCAGATTACTGTCACTTTAAAAGAAATTGGGGATTACTACGACTTTACAATGCTGTGAAAATGTGTGAATCAGAAGAGCCTGAAACAACCCTTAAAGCAGTGGTTCCCAAACTGTTTCAGTCGGGACCCCCTTGGGTAATTGGAAATATTTTCAGGAGCCCCCCAACCCGGTTCCCATCTATATTGATAGGATTAATTGTATATTGTTGTAAAAACATTACATTTTCTGTAGTAATCATAAGAAGGTACAAAGATCCATTGTATATTTTATTTTGGATTACACATTAACAAAAGCGCTTGTAATTGATACTGTGAATTAATTTGGCCTAATTAAAACTAGCAGGCCTTCTTCCCTGAGTAGTAGATTTTTTAATTCAAATGTCTTATTCCTATTCCACACATAGCCTATCAATGACTTGTGTGTGCTTGCTTTCCCTCGCAGATCTTCTCAAAGCGAGGCTGCTGTTTTGAGTCTGCCTCTCAGTTCATTCTCAATGTTCAGCTTTGATCTGTATTTGGTTTTGATGGCAGCAAGAAAAGCCGATCTCACACAAGTAGGATGTTGCAAAAGGCAGCAGTATGCCCACAGCTCTCTGACCAATGAGATATTTTCGAGCAGTGTTTGTTTACAATTGAATAACAATAATATTAATAATACATTTGATTTATATAGCACACTTTAAAAACAACGTAATCTCAAGGTGCTTCACAAAGCTAAAAGGAGAAAATAAAAAAATCTTCCCGCGACCCCCCCCCCTGCAGTACCTCCGCGACCCACTAGGGGTCGTGCCCCACAGTTTGAAAACCACTGCCTTAAAGCATTGTGCTGTGTGTGAGCTTAACTGTGTGTATTAAAGGTCCCATGTCATGGCCATTTCTACTGATCATAACTCCATTGTTGAGGTCGACTAGAATAGATTTACATTGTTCAATGTTCCAAACTCACATTGGTTTCTCATCCAGCGTCTCTGTATAGTCTGTGTATTCACTCTCTGTCCTAAAGGGCTTGTTGGAACTCCTGACCCCCCCCCCCCTCCCTGTGAGCCCAGTGTGCTCTGATTGGTCGGGACGTTACGAAGCTCGCTGCTGCGAGGAGCGGACAGGTTTCCGGGTCGGCGATACAGCGAGAACAAGCGAAACTCATCCTGAGCACACACACACTCACAGCCGAAGTAAAAACAATAAGTGAGGCTTGATATTGAGAAAGAAAAAGGTTGATAGCGCTGTGAGAATGGGTCTGCGGAGAGCATTTCTCCGTCATCCCAACTCGTCTATTACCAGCGTTCAGGGAGCTCGATGCAAGTCAATGGGACTCCCTGTTAGTTAGCCAAGGGGTCCTGGTGTGTGAGGAGCTCCGCGGATTGGTCCATTTGGGCCAATCCGGTCATTTGTTGTTGATGTGGGTGTTCACACGTCACAGAACCCAGGAAGCAAACAATGGAAGAAGAGGAATCTCCAACGAGGCGTTCTGGGGCAGCACAGACAGGTCTTCTCTGTGTTAGAGTTTTACTCGCTACAGGGTGCACTTTGAGGGTTTGTGACTCTGCAGACCGTTTACATGCAGAACAACCTTCATAACAACAAGGGGACGGGTGATAACTGGAAAAGCATGACGTGGGACATTTAAACTATAACACACCTGAAACATGTGCTCAACTGATATTGTACTTCTTTAATATAAATGTATATTACAGTATTAATGTGTTAATAAGCCCAATCAATTAAAGCTGCCAACACTTTTTGTCACAAAATAAAAGAGAGCCTATTAATGGAAAGCTGGTCCTTTCTTAATGCAAGAAAAAATAACCTTAACTTAATTTATGAGGAAATATGTACCTCTACTCTAGCGAGGGGCCCAGCCCTTCGTATAACTTTCTGTATGTGACCCTCAAGGAAAGATGTTTGGACATCCCTGGTGTGTAGGCTACTGCCGGCAAGTCACACATTTTGAACGTTTAACTAGCTGTGAATGTAAGGAAACCGTTTTGGAACAATAGTCTGCAGCTTGTTAATGTTTCTTTCTATCCTCTGAAACAACCCTTGCAGCACTGTGCAGTGTGTGACTGTGAGCTGAACTGTGTATTCAACTCAATTACAGCATTTTCTGTCAGCTCAGATTTTAGCTTTTTTAAATGTGTTTCAATGTTGGTGTAGAGTCTAGTCTTCCTTTAAATACACACACTGAATGTTTTACTAGTTGTGAATGTTAGGAAACAAAGTGCAGTTTGTCATTGTTTACTTATATCCTCCGTTTCCTCTGCAGCTTGTTACGCTAAGAACTTCGGACCTAAAGGCTTCGGTTACGGTCAGGGAGCCGGAGCTCTGGTCCACGCTCAGTGAAGATCCTGAACAAAAAACAACATTATTGTCCTTGTGTTTCCTCCCTGCTCATGACACGAATAAAAACATTACCAAACTCCACATTTGACTGTATTTTATTATTAAAGCCATTAAAACTGAACCATGCCCATATGTTTACATCTGAAGCGGAGTTACAGTGATGTCTGAAGGTGGGCAGAGAGGCACTGGAGATGATTATGTGCTTTTTTTTTTTTACTTGATTTTTATTATCCCCACATGATGGGCGAGAGGGGGGGGGGGGCGGACAGAGAGTTTTCAGGCTGCTGGAAGAACTAGTGAGGACTGAGTTTGTGTCCTGGATGAGTGCTGAACTCTGCCCGGAAGCAAACAAAAACAAGCCCGCGTTTTCCTCCCGTCACTAAAGAGGCATCACAACAACCCATGTGGTCCGTTACTGATTCTGATATGAAACCTTGACTCTTGAAACTTTAAAGCACACATAAACCAGCTCAGAAATGACATCAGTGTTGGGTTAGCCAGAGTGCAATGATGAATAATCCTCCGTCTGATGATGCAACATGAGGCCCAATAATGTCCGGAGGCCTGAATGTAATATAACCTCCATTTATACTTAAAACTATTGCATGAAACACAGCTTTTTAGAAAACCAACACAAAAAAGGAATCGGCGTCTGCCTTAGTTCTCTAGTGTCTTTGCTTTACAATTTGTACATCCAGTGGTGTAACAAACCCAGCGATATATATATATATAAAGTAGGGATTTTAAAATAAAAACCCCCTTCAAGGATGACTACACAAGAATGGGACATTAAAATATATCACACACTTGTACATGAGGGTTGGAAGAAAAAAATCCCACTAAGAAACACATTGGATTTGAGATTTTTAAAAATTAAACAAGACGTAAAATGAATGGTATGCAGAAAAGTACTTGCAAATACTTAACATTCACTATATACAGACACGTGGCTCGCCGGGCTGTCACCATGGCGATGATTATGGTCGAACATGCAGTGATTTTCGGCAGAGGGGGGGGTGCCTATAGACAGCAGTGTGGGACGTCACTAAAAGCCATACAGTCACTTCTTCTTCTCTCAGTTTGGTTTGAAGAAATCCCCTTTTTACCAGCTCATAGGCTGTGAACACGGAACCGTTGATACCCCAAAGTTTAATGATAGAAATGTATAGAACGGGTCAACAGGACATAGAAACTGCCTGGTGCTAACTAGCATATGTTGGGCAATTTGCCTAATTAGCAAGTGGCGTTAATTAGCATATGCAGACAATAGTTCAAAAATGACTTGGCTGATTTGGACCATTTTGGATTGGTTATTGAGGATGTTGAGTCCATTTCTTACATTTTCAGGACCATAAATGGCAGTTTTAACCAGAAAGTAGTCTTATTTTTACTCTATGAGCTGATTTGTATACATTCTGGATCATTTGGATTCGACATATTGCTAAAAATGTGAGTTATCTATATCCAATGGTCGCAACACTACTCATGCTAGTCAAAATCAGTCCTCCGAGAGAACAAAGGTGGCGACTTTTGGTTAAAACTGCCATTTTTGATCCTGAAAATGTCAGACATGGATTTAAAACATAAAAGTCATTAGCTATTGTCTGAATATGTTAGTAGAAGCCAATTATACAAATGGCCCAACATATGCAAGTTAGCATCCATCAGTTTCTATGTGCTTAGGACCCGTACTATACATTTCTATCATAACAACTTTTGGAGTTCTCAACATTTCCGGGTTCACATGCTGGCAACTAGAAAATAAAGTAAAAAAATAATCCAGGAGCACCTCAAAACTAACACTGACGAAAACAAAAACAGTTCTACAGAGCGAGATTTATGTACAGATGCACATTCTCAACCGTCCATCCTGCTGCTGCGGACAGGAAGTGATGGGGGGTTAAAAGGGGAAAAGGGGGGCGGGGCATATCCTCCTCTGTAAACAATGGAAGCTGGTGTTCAGTAACAGCCAAACAAAAACTAAAGATCAGTGCAAAAATATAGGCAGACAAGACAAACACAAAAAAAAAGACTTTTACAGCTTTCTGAAAAACACACATGGAATGAACCGTCCTGTAAACGCGTCTGTCGTCCTGCTAATAAATATACGCTCGATGTACCTGTCGATAAAGTTTTTTTATGGTAACTTCCCGGGCTTCCTTCCTCGTCAGACAGCTACAGGTTTAATAATTGTATCGTCATAAAAACCTAATGCGCTAAAAAAAATGATGTGAAATGTAAAAATGATGCCGCTAGAACATTAATGTATAAATAGTTATAAAATAAATATTCCTGTATCACATTGTCTGTAGGGTTTTCTCTGTCACTTTAACGGTGGGTTCTGCTGAAGGACTCATGCATTACGTTACTGCACAACAGCTGCTTTTAGGATAACCCAAAAAACTCTTCATTCCTCCAGCAGCTCCACCTGTAACCCAACACTCCCCCCTCTGATGAGATCAACTATGTTGGCAAAACCCGGTGCAAAATCAAGAGGTTTTTTAAAAAGACATTCCCTTATTTCTATCATACTTAAAAACTAATTCGTGTTTTTTAAAAATCAAAATCCTTCAGCCTTTCTCTGGACGCCACGGCGGTTACTTATCCTTTCCTGAACCATTTCAAAACATACATACAGGGCACATCAACAGGGACACCATAAATAAGAATAAGGACTCGGTAGAGGTGGGGATTTCAGAGTGATGCTGCCACTTTTAAGCCTCCGGGATAAAACAGAAGATTATTTTTCCGTTGTTTTCCTCCCTCCTCCTCTCCTGCCTGGCAGCAACGCACCGTCCATCGGGAAAAGAGACGAGGAGGTGGAGGGGGAGCAAGTGGAGGTACAGTAATGATGTTGTACAATAGTAGTAATAGTAGTAGAAGAAGGAGGGTAGGGGGGGTGTGGTGTTGCCCTGTAACAGCATGCTAGTCTTGGCTGATTTTTTTTAATCTAAGTCTTTTTGATCGGTGAGGGAGAGATGGTTTCGAATAAAGCAAGCGCTCCCGAGAACAACATCGATCCCATATCGGTTATTCCTCTTCTTCTTCTACACCAGCTGGTATCCGGAGCCGGACGTCTGGTCGTACTCTATTGTGTACTGAGAGGTCCAGTCCACCGCTACGGGCCGGATCAGGCCGCAGCAGCGCACCTCGAAGAAATCTATCAGGTTCCTGATGCATCCGTGACTAGAGAGCGAGAGAGAGAGAGAGAGAGAGGAAAAAGCATCATATTCATTAAAAAATAGCACCAAAACCCATTTTTTAAGACTTGCTTAGGAGTTAATTAGTGGTGTTTCCCTTTTCCCCTTTCCTGTAGTGTGTCCTATAGGTTTTAGTGCATGTAAATGGTCTAAAAAGGCTTAAGTTTCTATCCCACACACTCTCCCCCTGCCTGAAACGCCTCCATTCGAGCCAGAAAGCCGACCAATCAGAGCACACTGGGCTCTGGTTTCAGACAGAGGGTGAAAAGAGGTGCTGCAGCACAGGCAGTATGAGAAAAATAAAGAGCTTTTTGAACATTAGAACATGGAGACAGTGAGGGGAGAGGACTCTTTAAAGTAGAGACACTACATACTGATATACACCTGGACATCAGCAGGAGAGGACTCTTTAAAGTAGAGACACTACATACTGATATACACCTGAACATCAGCAGGAGAGGACTCTTTAAAGTAGAGACACTACATACTGATATACACCTGAACATCAGCAGGAGAGGACTCTTTAAAGTAGAGACACTACATACTGATATACACCTGAACATCAGCAGGAGAGGACTCTTTAAAGTAGAGACACTACATACTGATATACACCTGAACATCAGCAGGAGAGGACTCTTTAAAGTAGAGACACTACATACTGATATACACCTGAACATCAGCAGGAGAGGACTCTTTAAAGTAGAGACACTACATACTGATATACACCTGAACATCAGCAGGAGAGGACTCTTTAAAGTAGAGACACTACATACTGATATACACCTGAACATCAGCAGGAGAGGACTCTTTAAAGTAGAGACACTACATACTGATATACACCTGAACATCAGCAGGAGAGCACTCTTTAAAGTAGAGACACTACATACTGATATACACCTGAACATCAGCAGGAGAGGACTCTTTAAAAGTAGAGACACTACATATTGATATACACCTGAACATCAGCAGGAGAGGACTCTTTAAAGTAGAGACACTACATACTGATATACACCTGAACATCAGCAGGAGAGGACTCTTTAAAGTAGAGACACTACATACTGATATACACCTGAACATCAGCAGCAGAGGACTCTTTAAAGTAGAGACACTACATACTGATATACACCTGAACATCAGAGTGAATATTAAACCTCTTCTAGTCATTTCTAAAATAATGTCACATTGTTGTCAGAGGTTTCAGGACATTTATGATCTCATTACATATATTCTAACACCCTAATGCATCAAAAATAACTTACTTGAAGGGGCTTTCGATGGACGTGGCTGTGACTTTAAAGTGCTTGTATCTCCGTGCGTTCATCCTCTCGTTGGTGGTGATTCCCAGAGCTGCGATCTGAAGGAGGAGAAAGCAGAGACATTTAGCAGAGTAGCAAACATCTGTTGGGTTTTATATACATGTAGGTCTGTCATTATAACTACAAATCTATGCCTGCGTTTTAAAAGTTCATTCTTCAGTCTTTTACTTAAACCGATATATTCCTGCACTTTCACTTTATCTGCATATTGAAGTATGAATGCTTGTTTGTATGTTGTCTCCTCCTGAATGTTGTACATCTCTTGTTTGTTTTCTTTAAGATATAATGACAATAAAGGATTCTATTCTTAGTTTTAAATCCAAAATGTAGATCCAGACCTGGTAGAGTTGACACATGATGAGCACGGCGACCCACATGAAGTGGAAAATGCTGTTGAGGAACATCCAGAACATCCAAGGAGAGCAAGAGGCGATCTGAGTCAGGTAGAGCCAGAAGCCATCCTTAGCGTAGCTGGTGGCGCAGTGGATCCTCCAGTCTGAGGACACGAGACGAGAGAAAAGGAGTGAAGAGGAGAAAACACGACTGAAAAGAGGGAGAGAAATGTAAAAGAAGTGTTTTGTACTCACAGGAAATGCAGCCGTATATCATCCAGCAGATCATTAAGAGCAGGAAAAACAGATAACCCATGAAGTAGCGGTGATTTCCACTTCCTGTAGAGAAAGAACGTTTATTCATCATTTACTTTGCATCTCTTGACTTTTGATCAAGCCCTCAACACAAGTCATCACAACGAAGACAGTAAAGTAGAACAAAGGAAATAATAGAAACAAAGGAAGGAAGCCGCGACAATATTTAAAAACTTCTTAAGAACTGCAGGGCTTGTTTGAACACCTTTAAAGCTTCTTCCTGAACACCTGGTGTTCACACACACACACACACACACACACACACACACACACACACACACACACACACACACACACACACACACACACACACACACACACACACACACACACACACACACACACACACACACACACACACACACACACACACACACACACACACACACACACACACACACACACACACAGCTTCCTAAAGTGGAATATGGAGCTGATCAAACCCATAAAAGTTACTGATAAGTGACAATAAAAGCAGCTGTTGGTGTGGAGGTGTGTTTGATTTTCACATACCGACACAGTTCCCCACCCAGGGGCAGTGGTGGTCGAACTTGGCGATGCAGCGGTTGCAAACGGCGCAGTGTTTGGACCTAATGGGCTTCCGTATCTGTAGGAAAACGGTCATAGGAGGAGAAAACGGTCATAGGAGGTATACAAAGTTGTTTTATTGTGTCAATTTCCCTCTGTATGTATCGTCTTTTTACAGATGAGTAGTATTTACCAAGCAGGTACTGCAGAATATACTCAGATCCAGGCTTCCCGTCTCTGCCAGCTCCACAATTGTCTGGAGAATGCAAACAAACAAACAAAAGCAGGATTAAAAAGAGAGACAGAGACATGTCGGAGCAAGGAATGAACAAACGAGGAATCCTCTCTGTGTATTTGGCAGCGTAACAAAACCCTAGTGACAGCCGAGGCTTTCCAGCTGGATGATCTCACTAAATCACCAGACAATCACACTTTCATTCACTCATTCGTTTTCGGTTTGTAAGTCTAAATACTTGAGGTGTAGGAGTATGAAATGTGCAAAAAACAATGTTTGTTTTCCTCTTGTGTGCTTGCTTTTACAGCACTGTGTAAAATGAAGTGGTGAGTCGTGCTAACAATGAAAGTCAGGGGCCAGTAGGAAGTAGGGCCAGTAGTTGCCCCTTCATTAGAGCGGGATAATGAGGGAAAGAGACAGCAAACACGCAGATATATCCATGGAGCTTTCTGCTGTCAACTACAATTAACAAAGCTGAAAAGTTCCCTTCAGACTAAGTTCTTATGTTCTTTTCAGGAACCTAATTGGTCTGTGTTTTGTTTTATGTTGTCTTCGGGTCAAATCTGACCGATTTACGACTTTCATCAATCATAACTTTTTTGTTTTACATTCGATTGCATTAAAGCTTCATGATGTCTTTCACAGTAGACATTTGAACATGGCTGATCACCACTTTCATTGCATTTTGGATGATTTAGTCAACTTTGAAACACACACACACACTAGATGTGTTACCCCGCCCTTATGTGCCCATCCCCCCATGTGAATCACACCTGGCACACAAAGACACACACACAGAACAATGACACATTTCCCGCTCTTATGTGCCCCTCCCCCCACATGGATCACACCTGGCACACCAATACATGTTCAGTGTCTGTTCTTTGTATATTTACTGCAGTTCTTCATGTACACCAGTAGTCTGATACAATATGTACAGTTTGAAAGGGTGTTAAATGAAATGTGGTGATGATTAATGGTTTTTGTGTTAATGTAATAGCAGTTAAAACAGGACCGGTCACATTTGACCTCGAACACCAAAGTAAGGGGGGAACGAAGACAATAGGAGGGTTAAATGTGTGCCTCATGTTGTTCTTGTATTCATGCTTCTGTGGTCTTAATTTGAACTTGTGTTCTTTCCTGTGAAGCACTTGAAAGGTGCTATACTAAATAAACGTATTTATTTATATTTATTGCACATTTGTACACACGTCTGCACAGCCCTCCACTTTAAAATATAATACACTGTAGTTTGCCATATATACTCATTGTCCTAAGTGTTTTTGTTTGCTTTTAAGGTTATGTGCAGTTAAATGTGGTGTAAACACTTGCCTTTAGCATCCTTTTTTAATGCTAAATTGTTTCTTAAAAATACTTATTCTTTATTATCATTATACATTTCTTTTCTTACCTCCTTTGCAACTTGTTTTTTTAGATTGTTGATGTTCGCACCACCAGATACCAAAGCAGATTCCTTGTATGTGTAAATGTACCTGGCAATAAACTTGATTCTGATTCTGAAGTATCTCCAACAACATTGCCGCTGCTTTCCTGTAACTCCTCACCTTTTTCTTCTGCTCCTCTGACGCTTTGATGATTCCCGGGTCAGACTTCCAGGATTTTCCGAAGTTGTAGAACAGAAACAGGCTGTTTATCAGGAAGGGAAGGTGGACGGTGACGAAGGGGAGATGTGCAGCGAGGTTAAGGAAGACAGCGAACAGATTTTTCATTTTAAACACTGCTTTGTCTACTGCAGGGTTCTTACAACCACATTCATTCAGTTTGACCTCAAACCTAACGTTAAGTACTAGGGATGTAACGATATATCGAATATCCCGATTGTTTTTTAGTAATATATATATTTTTTTTTAAACCTTTATTCCACCAGATGGTCCCATTGAGATCATCGATCTCTTTTTCAAGGGAGACCTGTCCAACATGGCAGCAAGTAGGTTACAACATGAACATAAAACAACAGATAACACAAAAGGACATGGTATTTACAGCGCTACATGTACATACCTAGAGACATTGACAAGTACCAACAGTATATTTATATCTCGCCCTGTCAATAAGCCTCACCTTCTTGGCAAAAACGGTATTGTTGTTGAAGTGGTGGAGAGACAATGCACAGTTTGACCCACTGCTGTCACCCATGGCTAAAGCATATCTCTCTGTCCCAGCAACATCAGTACCAAGCGAGAGAGTTGTTTCCACAGCAGGGGATTTTGTAAACGCCCAAACATCCCAGCTTCTACCTGGAAATGTGGACATGCTCATATTCCTAAAAGATAACCTTGATGAGTGAGTGAGTGAGTGAGTAAGAGTTGAGTTACTTGAAAAACTAAAGTGAAACTTGATTTATTCTATTGCAGGGTCTGATTATTATATTGTTGACACTTAAAAATACTACTATCCTACTAAAATGCAAGAAGAATATATATGAAGAATACAATTTCACATTTTTTTTCTTTACTTTTCAATATCGCGATAGATATCGTACCGTGGACTTTTTAAATCGAGATATTATCGTACCGTGAGTTTTTGGTATCGTTACATCCCTATTAAGTACTACTGATGACCTGAGGGTCCCAAAACAGAACTTCATGCACAGTATGTACAGCTGTAGTGTGGTGCGTTACTTCAATATTGCCTACATCATATGTTGCTCTACATAAATCTGCTTGACACCAACAGTTAATGCCCGTTAAGACGAAGGATAACTGGAAATTGTTTTTTTAATTACGTAAAAACCAAGAGATGTTGGTTAAAACCCCCAAAGTGTAAGTTGTGTTCGTGTATGATGACTCCAAAGGACACTGATTTGACAATGAATGTTTGTTTGGCCTAATTTTGTTGTGATGTCTAATTGGAATAACATAACAGATCTGAGATAAAGTATTGGCTGACATGTTTTGTGCCCTGAATACTTTGTTCTTCTTACAAATGTGTATATTCAATAAGTCCTTTTTTAGAGTGTACTCTATGTTCGTGTGGTGTAAGGACATCTGAATCTAACTTGCAAGCTAAGGTAGGAGAAATACTGATTTGTTTTTGCAAAAAATAATATTTTCTTCAACTCAATTTGTTCTCATCTCACTCCAAGCAAGGAAAAGCTAGTTGCCCAAATGTGAAACGTTTCTTTGAAGCAAACAGACAAAAGGATATCGGTCCAGAACCAGTAGAACCAGGTGGCGTACATCCAGAACTTAGTGGCCAGATATATACCCAGAGGGAGGGCGCTGTGCATGGAGTGGTCGAAGAAAGCCCTGCACAGACAGAGAGGTGTATATAAACAAATATATAATAATTAATAAGAGATTAAATCAAAAACATATATAGAATAAAATAATAAATAGATAGGAGTTCAAAGAAGGATAATTAGAAATACAAGTGACAGACTAAAATAAAAACATATATACTATAGTAATATATACAAATAAGAGTAAATACAAACACATTAAAAAAATTAAAAATAAATACAGAATAAAATTAAATAATTAAATAAAGTACAATTAAATATATACATAATAAAATCAATAAATACATAAAATATCAAAAATATATACAGAATAAAAAACAATAAATGAATAAATAAAAAATATATAATAATTAAGACACGAAATCAAAAACATATATAGAATAAAAATAATAAATAAGTAGGAGTTCAAAGAAGGATAATTAGAAAAACAAGTGACAGACTAAAATAAAAATATATATATTATAGTAATATATACAAATAAAAGAGTAAATAAAAAAATTAAAAAAAATAAAAAATACAGAATAAAATTAAATAATTGAATAAAAACAGTTAAATATATACAGAATAAAAAACAATAAATAAAAAATATATAATAATTAATAGAAAGAGACGTACTTGGAGAGGAACTGCACGGTGATCCAGACCCCGGCGTACATCAGGCCTTTAATGAGCCACGAGTCAATATCCAGGTCCGCGATGAAACCGACCAACCAGATGACGAGGAAGGGCGTTCCCAACATCACTTTCTGCCTGAACTCCTGCAGAGGGACGAGGACACACAGATGGGTATGGACAGCAAAGGAAAAGGGGCGAGAAAGGAAATAGGAAGGTGGGATTTAAAGGAGAGAGGAGGGGAAACAGAATGCATGGAAAGACAGACAAAGAAATGGCATTGATGAATAAATAAAGATGATGAGACAGATGTTGGATGAAATACAGGAAAAAGGGAAAACACAGATGAGATTTCCGTAGCGAGGAAGGAGTCCCTTTGAGCATTTCTTAGCTAAAAAAGGTTGTTAAAATATGTCGTAAAAGTAAAAATATGTCCTTCACATCAGCCAGTGCAATGAATCATGATCAGAAATATGAATTCACTGGATGATCGGATACAGCACAGGTTTACAAAAGCTTGTTTTTTTAAAGTGCGAGTGCAGACTGGTATTGTTAGTTACAAAGACCCTTAAAGGAATCAGAACATAATTATAAGCTTACATTTAAGAAAATAACTGTATTGCAGGTTGCCGTTCTCAAAAACAGATATTCACGATTTGAAACAAGCATTAATTCAACAGATACTGCACAATAAAGCAGATTTAGATAAATAACTTCTCATTTCTAATGCACTTAACTTATTGTACATGTTTTTTTCGACATACAAATCAAGCATTATGTCTTTTTAAAGTATATTTTGTACCCTCTCAGCTGTGGAGACGTAAAGAAAAAGGTAGGCAGCAAGCAAAGCAGGTGGGATGTGTTCTACAAATGGTCTGGGTAGCTTTGCTAACTACAGCGCTGGGATCTGGACTACAGTAACCACAGACCGCAGTATTTTTTTTATTGCAAATGAACTAGTTCTTTACCTTTTTTAACTAATTACATCCCAGCAGAGAAGAGACAAAAGACAACACATTCAAGCAGAGTTAAAACAGATTTGAGCAGCAACAAAAACAAGATTATGCATCTTATCAAAATCACAAAACCTCATGAGACGCAAGAGGTTATTTATTTATTTCGACATATGGCAGAAGGCTGCAAAAAATATTCCTAAAACCAGGAAATAAATTAGCATTTTTTGCACTTTTGACATGAAGAAATATGAGATTTTAACGACAAAAGGCAGATAAACTTTAGATGTTGTTTAAATAGATTGTATTAAAACAGTCTTTTGCTATATGTGACCTGCTCCATCGAAATCAGTCGCATTGACCCGAAGACACATTTTGGAATGTTGGAAAAAGGAGATTCCTAGCTTTCTAATTATATCAGGATTGTTGTTGTACTCCGAATATTAAGCAACATTTTGTTGTTTTATAGTTATTTGTTAATGTAACCCAATTTGTGTTCTTTGAAATTGAAATCGCATTGTGTTTGTTACTTTCGTTGCAGTTGTATATGTCTATATGGACATGCTTTTATTTTGAAGGAGAGTTAGCGCTGTTGACAGGAAGTTGTTGTTGCTATGGAAACAACGTGACGGAGATTAACGGAGAAAAGTAATATCTACATATAAAGACGGAGAAAGTAAACAATAACGTTTATGGTTAAGTGTTAGCGCCCCCCGAAGAGGCACAAGCTCTTACGTTGAGATTGGAGATTTCAATAAATTCAATTTGGAAAAAAAACGGAAAGAAAAACGAATAACGAAATTGAAACCCGAATAGTACTCCAACGAACGAATATTCGGATACAGCCCTAGTGTATACGTGTGTGTTTGTGTAATTTTGGGTTAGTGTGTATTGTGTTTGTTTCCCGGGGAAAACACTCACGAGAAACACCGGCTGTTGTTATGCCTGCAGTGCCGTAAAGTTACTCCGTTCTCCGCTTGTAATTATGCCGTTAAAAGCTCCAAAGCTGTATTTATCATCTGAATTTGCCGAAACAAGTTTAATATTCTGAAAGCCAAGACTTTGTTTAATTGAAATCAGATGAAAACAAAGTGTAACGGACCCTGTCGTGTTATCTATGATTACTATATGCCTTACATTCATAATGTCAGCGGGAGGGAGGGGGGGCGGCGCTGAGGAACAGCAGAGTTGCGAGAGCTGTCATCTTCCCTTTACAAGCTTCAAAAATATATTTATCGTGTGATTTTGGAAATACAAGTTTCTTATTCTGAAAGCCAAGACTTTGTTTATTTAAAATCAAACAAAACACCCGAACAACTATTTTTTTACGCAAATCCACGTTTATTTTGAAATGAGCCGTTGCGACTTCCGACTGATTTCGATAGAGCGGGTCACATATAATGCTAAATGGAAAGAAAGTAGGAACAAGTATTTAAAGAAGGAAAGACTGAAATCAAGGCCTCCCTAGACAGCCAAGATGTTTTGGAGAGGTATTCAAATGGATTTAAAATATCAATATGTATATCATTAAGGTATTATTTATAGGCCATATCACAAAGGCCTAATCGGACAACCTTCATGAAGTAGTAGATGACAATTAAATTGAAATGCTGTAACGTACCTTGTCCATTTTCAGTCTCTTCAGGTACGACGGGCTGTCGTAGCCTTTGGCCTGCCGCGCCTCCTGTAAGTGATTTATCATCCAAACATTCTTCCTCTGCTTGGCGAGATCTAGCGGCGTTTCGCCCTAAAAAAAAACAACACAATACGAGATTATGCATCGCAAAAAAACTCTACATTTCCAACCTTTCTTGTGCTACATTTCACTGACAGAGTGGTGCAGGAATGACTCCTAAAACAATGAAATAAGTTAACATTTAAGCAATTTTGGTTCCCTTATTTCGAAGTACATTTTTTTTTGTTAGATGCCTGAAATAAGGTCTGTGGTTCACACAAGCCGAAGAGATTTTAACGTTCTGTTCTGCGACATACAATACGTCAGTAAATACCCCACTGGTGAATTTAGAAAACGGCGGTTGCTAACAAGTGTCTAAATGTCATCATCGCACCCAACATTAGCCTCCTTTAGCTTAGCGGTGGTGACGTGAAGTCATGTGACCGTGCTGTAGTTCCTTTATAGCCCAACATTAGCCGCCTTTAGCTTAGCGGTGGTGACGTGAAGTCATGTGACCGTGCTGTAGTTCCTTTATAGCCCAACATTAGCCACCTTTAGCTTAGCGGTGGTGACGTGAAGTCATGTGACCGTGCTGTAGTTCCTTTATAGCGCAACATTAGCCACCTTTAGCTTAGCGGTGGTGTCGTGAAGTCATGTGACCGTGCTGTAGTTCTTTATAGCCCAACATTAGCCGCCTTTAGCTTAGCGGTGGTGACGTGAAGTCATGTGACCGTGCTGTAGTTCCTTTATAGCCCAACATTAGCCACCTTTAGCTTAGCGGTGGTGACGTGAAGTCATGTGACAGTGCTGTAGTTCCTTTATAGCCCAACATTAGCCACCTTTAGCTTAGCGGTGGTGACGTGAAGTCAGGTGACCGTGCTGTAGTTCCTTTATAGCCCAACATTAGCCACCTTTAGCTTAGCGGTGGTGACGTGAAGTCATGTGACAGTGCTGTAGTTCCTTTATAGCCCAACATTAGCCACCTTTAGCTTAGCGGTGGTGACGTGAAGTCATGTGACAGTGCTGTAGTTCCTTTATAGCCCAACATTAGCCACCTTTAGTTTAGCGGTGGTGACGTGAAGTCATGTGACCGTGCTGTAGTTCCTTTATAGCCCAACATTAGCTGCCTTTAGCTTAGCGGTGGTGACGTGAAGTCATGTGACCGAGCTGTAGTTCCTTTATAGCCCAACATTAGCCGCCTTTAGCTTAGCGGTGGTGACGTGAAGTCATGTGACCGTGCTGTAGTTCCTTTATAGCCCAACATTAGCCGCCTTTAGCTTAGCGGTGGTGACGTGAAGTCATGTGACCGAGCTGTAGTTCCTTTATAGCTCAACATTAGCTGCCTTTAGCTTAGCGGTGGTGACGTGAAGTCATGTGACCGAGCTGTAGTTCCTTTATAGCCCAACATTAGCCGCCTTTAGCTTAGCGGTGGTGACGTGAAGTCATGTGACCGTGCTGTAGTTCCTTTATAGCCCAACATTAGCTGCCTTTAGCTTAGCGGTGGTGACGTGAAGTAATGTGACCGAGCTGTAGTTCCTTTATTGCCCAACATTAGCTGCCTTTAGCTTAGCGGTGGTGACGTGAAGTAATGTGACCGTGCTGTAGTTCCTTTATAGTCCAACATTAGCCACCTTTAGCTTAGCGGTGGTGACGTGAAGTCATGTGACCGTGCTGTAGTTCCTTAATAGTTAGCTTTATACTTCAAAAACCATAAAGTGGTGTTAAGATGCGATGAAGCTTTTGTGATGCTAACTTTTTGGTCAGCCTACAAAAACACGTCATCATAGCACCTCGATAATAGTCTATAATATGGCAGTGAAGGATCAGAAAGACAGTGGATTGGTTACCTTGATGTTCTGTGCATCGACGTTAGCGTTAGCGTCCAGCAGCAGGCTGATGACCGTGGTGTTTCCAGCCAACACGGCCCAGTGCAGCGCCGTGTTCTTATGATATTTGTCGCCCAGATTGACCGACACGTTGAAGGTCAGCAGCAGCCGGGTGGGATCCACACTGTCAACAACAAATACAGTCAAGGCGAGAAACAGGATCACTACAATAAGACAACAACAACAACAGCAAACTCCCTTGAAATGTTTAAAACCAAATTAAAAACCTTTTTAATATGGCTTTTAATTTGGGTTAACTTTCAATTGTCACTAGTTTTTAATTCTCACCCTGTTGCTATTTGAACTACTGAATTTCCCCACAGGGATTAATAAAGGTCCATCTTATCCTATGTCAAAAGTGTGTCTGAATAAGAAATGTTAGTGCATAGGTGCAGAAAAATGCTTGAACCTTTCCATAATACACTGAGCAAAGGACACACACACACACACACACACACACACACACACACACACACACACACACACACACACACACACACACACACACACACACACACACACACACACACACACACACACACACACACACACACACACACACACACCACACACACACACACCACACACACACACACACACACACACACACACACACACACACACACACACACACACACACACACACACACACACACACACACACACACACACACACACACACACACACACACACACACACACACACACACACACACACCTGTGTGTCCTGTACGCCGCCCACATCAGAGGAGTCATGCCGTTCTGATCCATCATGTCTACATCCTGAAGGAGAGGAAACATAATATATTAGATTAATGAAGAAGAAGGGAGGTGGAAAATACAAGCAACACTATGGCTCCCCCTGATGGAGAGAACTGGTATAACAAGCTACACCCAAATTACACAAAATAAATTAAGATTATTTTTATTTTAGCAATTACTTACACTGTCTTAAATAATATCCTTGTGGACCAGAGTGAATATTCTAAAGATATCTTGTCAAATAAGCAAGTTCTGAATGGAAAAAGGACTATATTTGGTATTTTAAGTATGCTTTCTTTCTTTAACAGGAGCCTCTTCCTGGGGTCCACATGCTTACAATCACACACACTTATACATTCAATTAACCACGTAAACATATCCCGATCATGAAACAAAAACACAAAATGAAACACAATTCCTCAAGAATAAATGACATTAAATGATATGAACCATCCTGCGCTTTCACACATTTAGTTAATAGAAAACAGGGCATAGAATAAAATGATATGTTAGCTAAATAAACATATAGACCACGATATATTATGATCCAAAGGTGGTCTACCTGTCCTTTGGCGATGAGGTAAGCCACGATGGAGGTGTGTCCGAACTGAGCGGCCAGGTGAACGCAGCTGCATCCCTCTCCATCGATCAAAGAGGGGTCTGAGCTGTACTTCATGAGCTGGACCACCATGGAGAGGTGGCCCTGTCTGGGAGAAGAAGAGCACAGAACTAAGACTTCACATTACATCTTATTCCAGAAAATCACCACTCAGCATCAAAGACTTTATAATACATTTCAAAATCCACACTATGCTCAGTACCGAGTTGCTTTATGCCTTCTTTAAAATGCAGAATGGTTAACAGCTTGGTGAAAAGAGCAGAGTAACTAATGGCGCGTTTCCACTGCAGCGGGGTAGCCCCGTTTAAGCGTCCTCGCTCTGGCCTCGGGCTGCCTCGCTGGCCGGCCCAGGCCGTGGCGCATTTCCATTACAGTTTAGGACCTGGGGTAGCAACGCAGTGTAGGCGGGGCGATCGGCTTTGTTTTTGTTCACATTTCGAGTTGTTCCGTCGAGCTCCCGCTGGATTTGATCATCCCCAATGAGATGTAGGAACGTCGTCACCTCCTCGGTCGACCACGGTGTGCTTTTCTTATTAGACGTAGCCATTTTTGTAGCTCATCCGTTTACAAAATGCTGTTTATAAAAATGCTGCAAGCTTGCTTCTAGATATATATGCGACGCTAGGGATGAACTCGCGTGCGATCTTGTGACGATTCTCTCTGACCAATCAGCAGTCGAGAGTGTTGACGTCACTAGTTCAGCCCTTGCCCTGGTCTGAGGGAACCACGATTTTATGGGGCCGGAAAAAGTACCCGCTAGCCGGTACTAGGCTATATGGAAACGCCACCAAAAACCGGCCTGGACGGTTAAGGACGCTTAAACGGGGCTACCCGCTGCAGTGGAAACGCGCCATTAGTAATAACTTCATTATTTCAGAGGTCCAAAGGTCCGATTATTTACTCACGTTGCTATATTTGCATATGAAATGCTGCCTGACTCCCTGTTTGTTTTTGTCATTTTATGTTTGTCTCGCTGGTGATTTGTTACATGCTTTTACCGCATCCAGCATTTTTACAATGTATTTTCAAAATAACCTTTTATTATTTATTCTACAACCCATAAACATAAATTAATATACAGATTTTACCATATTTATTTTTGTAAAATAATGAACAATATGCACATTTCTACTTTAACTTAGTGTTATTCTGCTTGATTTGATCTTTTAATGGTCATTTTTTCTACAACTTCTTATTTTTACATTTGTTATTATCCTTTTTGATCACAAAACACAATTTTCCCGGAATAAAAAAAAGTGAATAAAAGTAAAAAAATATTTCTGCTATGTTAACGTCCCATTGGACAATAAAGCTTTTGAAAGCTGAGCAGCACTCCGGGGGGCTGTAAAGGTCAGTGGCAGGCGACTCAATTAATAATTCAGGACGCGTGGGAGAGCGGGTGTCATGTGACCCGTGCCTTTATGCAAGATACAGACAAAGAGGACAGAAAACAGCATCAAGTTAAAAAGGAGGCGCTGTGACCCATAAGCCGCTTTCACACCAAGTACTTTGCCGTACTTAGTTCCCAGCACTTAGTTCCCAGCACTTAGTTCCCAGCACTTAGTTCCCCATGGAGCTAAGAGCCGATCGCGTTCACACCAGAATAAGTTCCTGAGTGAGGATTAGGCAAATGAAGCCGCTGACGTCACTTCTTCTTCTTTGGGTTTACTGGCAGGCCGCAAACCACTTCACGGCGTATACTGCCACCCGGAGTCCCCGGCCGGAAGTCCCCGGAGTTGGGGACTGGCTTCCGAGTAAATCGCCAGAACGCCGACACCTCCTCATCTCCACCGCTCCCATGTTTTCTTTTGTGTTGCCATAAGTTAGTCTCTCTGCGTTGGTGCGCGGGGCTAATGCTAATAATGCTAATGGCAGCAAATACAATGGCGGTTTCACGACACTTTTCAGAGTTTTACGGGGCGTGGTTTGCAATTCGCCCAGCCAATCAGAAATGTGAACTTCTTTCTCCCCAGGATAGTCCCACCTCTCTAGCAGGGACTGAAAATGGGGTAAAAGTTCTCTGAACTAAGTTCTCTTTTTGGTGTGAACGCAAAACTATCGGAACTAAACGGGAAAAGTACTCCGGTGTGAAAGCGCCTATAGACTTTCAATATGAAGGAGTTACCTGGTGGCCCAGTGCAGAGGAGTGGAGTTCAGGTCTCCTCCCAGCTGATCCACTACGCCTCCCTTAGATATGTAGTACCTAAACAAACAAAAAGCCATCAGGTCAAACTTATATATGTCTTTCTGATAAATCTCATCTAGCTGTAGGCTGCATGGATAGATTACTGTATCCCAAGAACGAAACAAAGTATGCAAAGCCAAATCATTTCCCTCAAAACAAAATCCCCAAAGTTGCAGCATGTCTTTAAAAAAGGAGGAGAAACATACCTGCAATGAATTCAACAATGGATTTCACTTCAGAACATTATCAAGAAACAAATACTTACTAAAGTGATCCAGTTCAAGCTTCTCATATGTTAGGATTTCTCCGATGTATGTCATTGTTATGAATATATTTCCGCTAATATAACTGAAACATTTAATATAACCTCATGACTAAAACTAACTGTCATCTGATGGGTAACAGTACATCTAAAATATCTTCCAAAATAGCAAAACCATCCAACCACAAATCAGGTCTCTTTGGTTCCGTCACCACCAAACACTTGACATGATTGGACTCACTTGACCAGATCTATCCTGTTGTTGATGGCGGCCCAATGGAGAAGCGTTACGTTTTCTTTGTCTGGCTGCCGGACATCGAAGCCGGCCTCCACCAACTCCCTGCAGCGCTCGAAGATGCCGTACCTGAGGGAAGAAGAGCGATTAAAGTATCATCACACAACAAATATATGTGCGAACTAGGGAAGCCGCGATCGGGGTTTTTGGGGCCGATCGCCGGAATCAGTATCGGCCGATACCGATCGAGTGGGCGGGGCCTATGGGGATCTCCCATTTAAAGTGATGTTTAAAACTCAGTTAATGGGGCTCATTTTTATATAGCCCGTGAGTATCGTCTCATGCAGCTCACTGACCCGACAGTGAAGAATAAACTATGTATAACTAGTGTAGCTAGTTCCAGAGGTAGATCAAATAGCACAGTGTGTTAGGTCTAACTCTTAGTGTGTGTGTTGCTCCGCTCACCGGTCCGTCACAGCGGGCGGAGCTGCAGGATTTCTGCCTCACACACGTTGCATTCCGCTATTTTACTGTCTTTTTTACCGCTATCGAACAACGCCGACACACCGTCCTCGTCCGATCCACCACTCGCACACTTCATCGTTGTTGTAGTCCACAGGGAACCCGAAATGTTCCCACACGGCTGATTTAGAAGAAGCAGGTGGTTCTAGCTCCTGTGTTATCTGAAATCGCCAAACTAACTTTTCTTCTTCTTGTATTTTGTTCGTTTTGTTGTGTTTCTTCTTGTTCTTCATTTGTTGCTTAAGGGCGGCTGGCAAACAGCTTTTAGGCGCAATACCGCCCCCTGGATTATATATAGTGTAATGGATACGGCGTATTCGTCGTGTGACTGCATGTGCCGAACCGTGACGATACGGATACCGTTACACCCCGAGAGAGCACCGATTGATCGGCTGATAACGACCGGCGGCCGATCGGAGCATCCCGAGTGCAAACACTGATGAACACAGGGTTGAAAACATGACACTGACAGAATACACACTTACATACACAGACAACAAACTGGCTTTTAAACAGATATAAGCAACTACACAATGGCTGTCTTTAAGCTAAATCAAAACAACCAATATGTAGTTAAACGTCATTAAATGAAATGTGACGTCCCAGACAAAGCTTCTGTTTTCTCATGAGGAAGACATTTACAAATCCTCTCATAATTTCCTGAGCTTGTGGAATTACTTTACTTGTTGCATTGCAAAAATATGTGGTATCTTGATAACAGAAAAACACATCCATCATAAAGTAAACATGAGGAGTGATTCAAGACCCGTCTGCAACCGGCTGGCTGCACTTCCTCCATTACAGAAAGAACTGACTTACACAATATTGCTGATTTTTAGCTCTTATTTATGCAAGACCTAAATATATGTGTCCTCTGTGATGCAGTATGATTATTTAACAGCTGTTTTAGTGCCATTTGAAGAGTTTTAAGCATATGTTATCTAGGATTATAATGTATATATAATCTACCTAGAAGAACCCCATTTTTAGAGTGGATCTGAATCACAGACTAGCTACACATATGTTTCATTGAACTTAACATTGACAGTTAAACGGGGGGTTAAAAGAGCGTCGACCAATCAGAGGGTCCATAGTTAAGATGCTTAACCCCAAATTGCTCCCTTATCGTACTGTAGTCTATGTAAGTGGGTAAAGGCGTCAGATATCATGTAACGTAATAGAACATGTGCTGCATTCATGTGTTGATGGATAATAACCATAACTAGATGAAGAAATGGGAAGATTATGTCAACGTTCCCTAAAGTCAGAACAGCATCAAGGTGAAATACATCAAAATGTTGTTTCGACACACCGTCTGTTACACATTACAAACTAAAATCATGAATCATTTCTCGAGGTTACATCAAATCAAAAAGACGGACAAAGTCCACAACATATGTCCACTCACTGCGTGGCTTTGACGATGTCCCAGGTGCTGTAGTCGTCCACATGGTTCTTACGGCTGACTGTCTCAGTGTAGCCGTGGTTGTAATGACTCTGGGGTTTGATTTCCTGAAAGAAAAGAGATTTAGAGTAGGGCTGGGCGATTTGGCCTAAAAATAAAATCGCGATTTTTTTCTAACTAATGGACAATTTTCGATTTAAACCTCGATTTTTTTCTGTTTTTTTCTAAACAAACCAGACCAAGGCAAAATGTAAATACATATTTTCTTTGCAAAAAATGCGTAAAAGGAAGGTTTCTGCCCCATTACTTCTCTTCTTACTTCTATAAGAATAAAACACGGTGAGGTGTAAAATGTTTTAATATCATAAATGTTACGCATACCGTCAGTTTAAATGCTGTTTTATACTGAAAAACTAGAAGTTCTTGTGCACAACCAGTTTTATTCTGAAAATCCTTCATCTCCGGACGGTTAGCATTTAGCATGTGGCTAATATACCATTTACTATAGAGGTGAATTTAGTAGCGATATGACACGGAGTGTTGCTCACCGAAACCTACTGATTTCAACACTGCAACTATAGACGTCGAGATATTATTATTGCTGAATATTAAATGAAGGTACCGTTTATTTGAATACGTTTGTTTACAGACGTGGGTAGTAGTATGAGACAACATCCGGAACTACCGGAAAAGAAACCAGCCGTGAAGTATTTCCTGTATTTTTGGAGTATTGATTACAGCGTTTAAAATGTATTAAATGAAAAGTCATGAAAGAGATAAGGAGGAGAACAGGCGTGTTTAGTTATATATTTAATGTACAATGTCGGAGTCCTCTGTTATGCTCAACAACGAACATTGGAGACGTGGAGGGCCGGCTCCCAGCAGCGCCAACCGGCCCACAGCGAGCCAGCGGAGGAGATATATCAGCTGGAGCTCGCTCTCTTCCCTTCGCTCACGAGAGCTTTTTTAATTAAAGCACCATTTGAACCTTCTCAGAGACTCCATTTAGTCTCCTTTTAAAGCTTCTCTCCTGGACGCGAGAATAACGAGCACAGCAGATCGGGCAGAGCTGCAGATCGGGTAGTCACAGGCAATGTGGCTGAGTTTTGGGCGCGTTCTGGAAAGTGAGAGAGTAAGCTACTACGGAGTCCCTTAAAGCAAAACAAATCTGCGGAGTCTAGAAATGTTTTTAAATCGCGATTTTTTGGTAGGAAAGTAAAAATGCAAATTAATCGTGAAAACCGAAACAATCGCCCAGCCCTAATTTAGAGTCAATAAAGTTGTGCTGCTGCTATAAGATCATCATACCTCAAAATGCTACGACACACTATTGATATATTCATTGATAGACAGATAAAAAACGACTATTTTGATAAGCGGTTAATCGTTTCCGTACTTTTTAAAGCAAAAAGCCCCGAGAACTCTCGAGGAAATGTGTTTTTTGTAAGGGTATATCTGCATTGAATAGCTTAAGGTTTAAGAGTAGGTCAGACGAGAGGAAGTCAAGTAGGTTGGCAAGCGGTATAGTGATAAGGAAAACAGATTAGTTTCAGCCATAAATAGAGATGTATAGTCTCTGTGTATATAATCATATTGCCAAACGTTATACATTAGATAAGAGACGACATATTCAGTGTGACAATTAAACTCCTCAGATTTCAATCACATGTCAGGAAAAGGCCGAATTGTAAAGACTTACTACAAGGGTGTGATAGGAAATAAAAGCTTATGCAATCCCAGCGATATAAAAGATACACGCTAAACCAGGTCGGTTTCTACACCTGCACAGAGTGTAAAAAGGTGTGTTTGTTGACTCAATGTTGAAGCAATTTCTGCTGTGCCCGGTAAACGATGTTGAGAAATCATTATCTTTGGGGGGGGACATGTGTTGCAGCAGCACAAAACAAAACAGGCAGGATATTATTTACATCAAGTTTGCATGGAATGGGATACTCAATTAAATATAAATATAGAATGTACAGAGTGAATGTTATAAGTCCAGTAGAAGCTATGGAGAAGGGAGTTCTGTTGTGACAAGTTAAACAATTAGATACATTGGATTCATCCGGGGACAATAATCCTCCAAAGGTGAGGAGAGCAAAGCCACATTAAAGTACAAGATGGACAGGATTGAATAGACTACAGGTGATGGCCTTGCTCGAAAACACCTGAGCATTCAGTCCAGTAATTGATTATAGATTATTAGAAAGAGGGAAATACTGTTAGGGCTACAGTCAAATCCAAGGACAGGCTTGTTGCTGTTCCTGTTGAAGATCTAATCAGGAACACAGACGTGACGGCTGCAACACACACACACACACACACACACACACACACACACACACACACACACACACACACACACACACACACACACACACACACACACACACACACACACACACACACACACACACACACACACACACCACACACACACACACACACACACACACACACACACACACACACACACACACACACACACCACACACACACACACACAACACCACACACACAACACACACACACACACACACACACACTTATCCTAACCCTAATCCTAACCAACTCTTCACCCTAAAATGAATGATTGCCCTTATGGGGACCTCCATTTTGTCCCCATAAGGGAGGCGAGTCCCCACACGTGACTGTGTAAACAGATTTAGGTCCCCACAAGTATAGTAATGCTAGGCCACACACACACACACAGCCCCAGTGTGAGGACCCCAGGAAGAATAGCCAATGCTCATGCTAGTGCTAATGGGGATCCTAATAAAGAACAAGAACATTACAGTTCAAAATACTTGGTCCTATTACATGTCACTAGTTAGACGCTTTTTTCCAAAGCGACTTACATACACTCAGTACTGTGGGCAATCCCTCCGGAGCAATTTGGGGTGAAGTGTCTCAACGACATGCTGACTGCAGAGGCACTTGCTCCATCACACTGAGCCACAGTGAAAACTTTTCGTAAAAGTTTGAAAAATGCATTTACAGTCCTCTTTATACCTTCTTAAAACTGCTTCATATCAATAGTGGAGGTTCTGGTCATTTGTTAACGGGTGCGGTTAGATTTCCCTCGGCAAATAAGGAAGAAACGGTGCTCGTAATCTGAAAATGAACCGATCAAACTTCCTCACAAAAGAGAGATTAGTATTAAATGACAAAGTAGATGTCACAGTCTGGTTCTCCTTCCTGAGTGCAAACCAAACTCACAATGACACTGGTTTAAGATTCAGTGTGTCTTTCCAATAGCAGACCTTATGGACCACATTTTCCAATTTTGGGGTCACGTATGAACTACGATCCGACACCACAATATACAAAAATCTATCTATGGATGAAGCACCACTGATGTTCCATATTGGCTTTGACATCATGTGTAAACAGGAGTATTATATTTAGTTATTAAATCAAAAGAAAATGGCTACGAGATCTTCAAGACAATCACCTCACTATGTGCATTTAAACCTATTTTCTAAGTGAATTGGAGCACCTGTAAGCCTCCAAACCACTTCCTCAAAGTTCAAATAAATCTGAACTGCACACTGCCCAGTTATTGAGCAAGTCTGAAGTGTAACACAGGGCTTACTCTCTGCGAAACAACAAGCTGAACAGGTCTGCCGAGACAAAAGCAAGCCAAGTATCATTGACGCGACAAACTGTGGACGCTTCCTGATTAGATTACCAGCAAAAAAAAGTACCTGGTGATAACTGGCTTTATTCAATATGCAAAACCTACCTTTCCCCAGAGCAGTGACACGTATTTGTGCATACATGAAAAGAGCAGACACACACATGATGTAAAACAAAATAAGGGGTGAAGATACAGCCTCAGGTTAAGGGCTGAAACTCAAACATTTTTCAAGATTGTTCAGTCGATAAAAAGTCAGGAAACTGAAAAAAATACGCCCAAATCCACAAGATGTTCAATTTATTATGATATAAACCCAAGAAATCTGGATATCTCCATATTGGAAAGGCTGTAAACCACGTTTCCTGTCATTTTACATGCCTTAATGTTTAGTTGATTTGTAAAATAGTAGACGAGTATAAGTACGTGTTGAGTATTTAACATTTTCGCAGCTCTACTCAAGTTCATGATGAATATAATGCTAACGACAGCATACGATTGTCTTATTGAGTGAGCAGGTGATGCCCGCTGATTGGCTGCCTTCGACAGGCTGATTGGTCCACCTGAAGAGACAGGAGCATTTAAGCTGCAGCCACGCAGTTCCTCTGCCCTCTCTCTCGTCGACCTTTCCTACTCCCAACTTCTTAGGCGCTTTCACACCGGAGTACTTTTCCCAGTATAGTTCCGAAAATGTGCAAACTGTAGGAGCCGCATTTAAGTTTGTTTTGATTTATTTGGAACCTTTATTAATGCATTTTTCTGTTTCAGTGAGAGGTGTGCTTTGCTCAGGTGAAGGGGGCGGGGCTTTAAATTGGAGGTGCGGTGTGTGACGGGAGAGCAACAGGCAGCAGCAATACCGTCACGCAGACGCAACCTTATGCTTAGCAAAAACAGATTATTAGGATCTGCTGTTTCAGTTTATGTTACATATTGTTTTCGTATTTTGTTTTACTGGAAATAAACGTTGAAAAGCAACTGAAACGTCCAGTGGATTGTGTACTGCGAGTCTGACACTGCTCCCGAGGCCCAAGCTCTACATGTGGCCAAGAACAATAACTTTTGAGGTGAAGGTTACAAGACAAACTTTTGGGGATTTTGGCCACTACAAGAACCTTCCACCCGCTTTTCAGTTCCCATTTCTGATTGGCTGGGCGGATTGCAAACCACGCCCCGTAAAACTCAGAACTAAAGAGTCCTGATGAACTAAGTTCTGTAGAACTAAGTACGGCAAAGTACTTGGTGTGAAAGCGCCTCTCGACTGTTGTAGAAAACCTGATCTATTGTTCTGTGTGGTTCAATCTAACGATTACCGGTCCTTTTGTACTTTTTGGTATCTTTGCTAATTTAACCTGTCTTGCCCAGGAGCGACACCCTGTTCTTTTGTTCAAATCCTGTTTTCTCGTTAGGTTAGGTAATGTATGCCCAGGGTTATTTGTTTATGTGGGTTGTCTCGTCTCCTTTAAAAACAAACAGGTAATTAAAATGACCAAAGGCATTTTTGTGTCTCATTGTCCATTTCTTGGGAGTGGGGAGAGTGCAATTTTGTGCTGGGCCTAGGTTCCCCTGGACTTGGGCATAACAACAACAACAACAACAACGTATGTAAACTAGGGGGCCGATATTCCGCATTTGACCGATTATCGGTATCGGCCTTTTTTTTATAAATCAAATTGCCGATAAAACTTTGGCTCTGATGCGGCCGTTTCTCTGGCTGCAGTCACCGCTCTTGCCCCTTTCACACCAGCGCTTTTTCAGCTCCGGCTCGGAGCTGGAGCCTGAAAAGCGCCGGTTTTTCCTGTTCACACCGCAGCGGCGCCGGCTCTTAGCTCCGGAATCCGGTTCACTTCCAGCTCCAAAATATTGTCGGTCTAGAGGCAAGAGCTTCGGAGCTAAGAGGTGGCGTCGCTTACGTCTCTCTTACGTCGAGGCGTGCAGGAAACTAAACTGAACATGGGTCGACTGTCATGCCTGCCTACAAGCAGTAGTGCTTATAAACACACTTTATAAAGTCAGGCAACACTAACCGGGCTTCGTGTGATTCTGTTTATTTGTACCTTACTTTGACCATCCGTTCATTGTTATTGATCATTGTGGAGAGAGGCAGACGTTTTGTTTTGTATTGTAGCAGCTATCGGATGGAATCAATACATGGGCTGCACAGGTTGTCGTGTCCGACTATCACAAGCAGAATCATAATAAAAATACGCCGGTAAAATGTGCCTGTAGAAAACGGTTTAAGGGGAACTGGGGATATGTATCAGCTGCTTGTGTGAGTCGGACAGTGAATACTTTAGAGCGGCCGCGGCAGTGTGAGCTAACCGGGAGCTAACGGAGGAGAATAAACTCCTGTGGAAGAGCAGCCAACAGTGCAGCGGTCGGTAAATGCTGCAGAAACACATTAATAAACAATGAACCACGGCACCCTGGAGCAAAGTATAAGGTTGGAGAAGTCGTTATTCAATTTAATCTGGCTTCGTGTGATTAAAAGCAACACGATCATCGACCCGACGCAGTTCCCCGTTGTTGTGAGCGCCGTAACGCCGTTGGGGAGCAAATCAGCGATATAAACGGTGACGTCATGACGCAGCAGCGGCAGCACCAGTCGGGTGCTGGGCGGTGTGAACAGAGCGGGAGCAGAAAAGGGAAACCGGAGCTGAACCAGAAAAGCTCTAGCTCGGAGCTAGAAAGGGAAAAGCGCTGGTGTGAAAGCCGCATCTGTGTACACGAGCAATGTCCCGCCCACAGCGCTATCTGATAGGCTATTACTGAAGATTTTCCGGGCGGGAGCCAGAGAGGCGGGACCTTCTCAGGTTACAGGCAGGTGCGAAAGAACGCAGACACAGACTGAAGCAAGCAGCAGCGCTGAGCGGCAGAGCCATACATGTGTTAAACCGAAGTTCAATAAACATCCCTATCCCCTATGCTGAAGTTACAAAAACACCACGATCTTATGATCCAATTCTATCAGTTTCCCAGTTACACAGGAAGTCAGTCAGAGTTGGGGGTGCGTGCAGCGTCTCGCAGCGGAGTAACTGTGGTGCGGAGGGGGGGGGGGCTGCGAGTGGCGCCTCGCAGTTTTTCAGGTTGATATATGAAGCTCATTAGCTAGCCAACATGTATCCAGCAAATGTTTAGCAAAATATTAGAAGTGAGGCTACGAGACTAACGTTAGGTCTACTGTGATAGCCTCACTTTTAATAGTTTGCAAAACATTAGCTAGCACTAGTGTTTTGCAGTTGCGAGCAGCTTATTGGGATTTTATGCTAGATAGACAGATATAATAAATTAAGCATTATTGTTAGTTAAGCATGTCAGCCTGCAGCCCCACTTCTTGTCTCTCTCTTGGGCCCGTCCACACTACAGCGTCGACAGCTTCAATCTGCCCATTCACTTTGAACGGGGTGACGTCACGTTGCCGCTTTTTCTCGCCGAACTGAATTGTGGGTAGCAGAGCGGTCCGTCTCCGCCGTCAGAAGTTGAACAATTCTGACGCCGGAGTAGCCAGCGCCAGCCAATTAAATCCCGTTTCTGAAAATCTGACAGCTCAAGCCCTAGCCAATCAAACCACGTCTAAGCTGGGAGAGATATCCCGCCGTTCATTTCTATATTTCAAAAAAAGATGGAGGAGAAACTAATTATCGCCGTAGCAAATCACCCGGTTTTGTATGAGCAGACCCTCTTCACCTACCGGGATACAAACCGGAGGAACCAGGCATGGAGGGAGGTGGCAGAGACAGTGGGTGAAACTGGTAGGTTTTCGCCTGTTTGGGGAGTTATATATATATATATATATATTGCTCCCATAAAATCCCCGGGGGTTTTTGCTTTGTATGTCGGGGGCGGGAGATTCATGTGATTGGTTGTTGGTCGCGTTGCTCGAATAAAATCCCCAAGCTTCAGACACGCCCAGCTCCAAGCTTTTTTTGAAGCTGTAGTGTGGACGCTAAACTCATTGCAGATGGCTGCACTAAAGAAAAGGGCACAGAGAGGAAACCAGTTGTAAGATGTTTAAAAGTTAATTAAAGATAATATATGCTTAAATGCATTTCAAAGAAGTTGAGTTGTGTTGGAGTTTGTGTTATTCTACATTTTGACACCAAGATTTTCTGATTTGACTGCAAATGTATATCGGTTCCAAATATCGGTTATCGGTCTCCTTGATTACTAATAATCGGTATCGGTATCGGCCTTGAAAAAGCCATATCGGTCGATCCCTAATGTAAACTATCCTCATTTCAATGTCACAATGGAAGCAGAAATGATAAAGATAGGTATCGTGGGCTCAAATACCTCTACACATTAAAAGCTAGCTAGATTAAAAGTAGAATATCAAAAACATGTGTCACTGCCAGGTTAGCTTTTGTTATTAGCCAACACTGTTGACATGCTATTATTTCAACACTGACCTTTACTGGTTTTTTTTCTTTAAACAAATGGCTTTATTGTTCAGTCTAATAACATAACAAAACGTTCACAACGCCATAAAGGACATGGACGACTATGCTCAATGACATATTGACAGATATCAACTTCTGTGATACACCTGTAAATAACTGAAATATATACTTCCACCTTTTAATACTTTAATCACACTACTACACATGCTACGCTGTAAATACTGATACTGGATGTGTATTTTGTTCATTGCGAATCGTGTCATTTATACTTGAATATGTTATGCATGCTTTTCTATTGCTGTAACGATGTGCATTTCCTCTCTGTGGGACGAATAAGGCAGTGCAAAATATAACACTAGGACATTAATATGGATGTTCATTCCTTTTTACATGTGTAGCTGTTAATATTGACCTATTATTATGACCCATTACTAGACACCACAGATTAATAAACACATACACACTTGACCCTAACTCACATCACTGCAGATACACAGGCAACAACAGTGTTTAGCTACAGAACTAACGTGTTTTATTCTCTGTATTTAGTATAAAATAAGATAGGATATACTTTATTGGGACATTCTCGTCACAGCAGCATGTTGAAACAAGGCATTGCACCTCATTTGAAAATAAAAACAGTAGAAAATACACTATAAACCCATGAAAACACAAAATGAAGCAGAGCTAAAAAGTAAGATATATTCAAATGTACCATGATCTACAAATCTGTAGACTATCTGTCAAATGAAACACTATGGAGGGCCAAATTACAGCTAACAAAATGTAAAAGTAGGATGTTATTAACTTAAAGTGTGCAAGGAATAGCATAATGTTAGCTTATATCTATTATTGCTAGCTGATATGTCACTTTTGCTGTTACACTGTACCATTCATAATAAAGGGATACTGGTGCAGCTACACAAGCAGCAGCTCTGTTTAGCTACACAGCTAACGTCGTATGACTGCAAGGATGAAGCATTATTACCATTAATGTTTTATATAACACACTTAAACACACACGGTTTATAGTCCTTGTTCCTGCTGCAGAAAACACCACCTTGTTACCATAATACCAACATCTGCACAGCGTGTGTTTCTTGCTTTGCAGCAGAAGAAGGGCTTGCATTAGCATCGTTAGCATCGTTAGCTTCCTGCCAACCCCCCACCGGTGCTTTTTGCAGGGGGCATCGGGAGTTACCGAAAAAAGCACGGCTAAATCCCACAGTTACACACACACAGACGTGCTTTGAGTGTTTTGTAGGTGTGAATGTGTCCGTGTGAATGTGTGAAGTGTTAGTAACTCACCTCGGGATGGAGAATAGGGACGCAGCCAGCTTCTTTCTCATATTCCTCCATAGCTTCGGCCATCTTGGTGGTGATGTTCGCTGAGCATGATGGGAAACAAGAGGCTGTGTGGGGGAAACAAACAGAGGGGAGAGGAGCTGTCACTCAAACTCTGAGGAAGGACAGACCACAGTGACCCCCGGCTACTAATAATATAAAATATTAAGTATATTTACAAATATGCATTATTGCAAACTCTACATGTCAGATTTGCCTGCTTTATGTAACACACTTGTCATAATGGACAGGTGATGCGGAAATGGAAATATTTTACTAAGTGGTCACCCTTTTAATTTATTTGAATAGCTGGAAAATATACTTTATATATCTTTTGTTCAGGGTATAATGGACTTCTTATCGTCAGGTGGGAACAGAGTGACTAAGCACACCTTGTGCTTAAAAGGTTTGAAAGATATGAATTGTTAAATACAGAAACCTCCCCATTGTGGAGTTGGTTGGATATGTATAAGTCTCCCCACCTTAAAATCAAGTGTCTTCCTCCTGAAATGAGTTAACCTCTGACCCTAATTTTGAAAATGTCAGTACCACATTATTTTAACAGCACCCTCTTAGAAACTACATTTGAAAATGTGAAAACCAACCACCTTCTACCTTACTTAAAGATGGGTTTGTGGACAAAAGGGGTTCATAGTGCAGCTCAGCGCCTGGTTTATTTTGACGTAAGCAAAGTGTACCAGACCGGAAACAGTTAACAGGAAACGTGTGGTCTTACATCCTGTCTTTTTATCCGTACTGGCTACCATTACTACTTCATATCATGTTTAATACAAATTATAATATTTATACTATGTATGCCCTGCGTGTTTTAAACTTAAATGCCAGTGGAAAAACCTTCCCCTCCTCACTTGGATGCTTTAAGATCCATAACATTCATCTATTGTTGTTTATGTTGTTTGTTGTCTTTCATATTCAAACAATTCCTTCTCAGACAAATTAAATGGACAATAATCAGAGCGTTTTGCACAAAGATCCATGTGTACTAGTTAAAAATGCTAATACTGTTTTTTACTGCACTGTTAGTGTACAGTTGTATTATTATTCTGCTGCTCTGGCACACCAATTTCCTTCGGGATGAATACAGTCCTATCTTAACTTATCTTATCTAATATACTCTGCTATGTACACATAACATCTGACTTAATTCTATTAAAAAACGGAAAGCATGGACAACATTGCAGTTACTGATTTCTGCCTCTAGATGTTCTCCATGTCCCATCACACTCCACTAAAGCTAAACCTCCATCAGCCACAGGATGTCACCCTTTACCAAAGCATGCATGCACTGAAAACAGCTGTACAGTTTGTAAACCTACATGTGTTTATCTAATATTACAGGAACAAATCAAATGTAGAAGAACGTATATCACATGATCACACCACACACAAGCATAACATAACCATTTTACCACAACTTGCAGACATGTAGAGGCACACTAGACATGATATTGCTGTGATGTTACATAATCATTCATAAATTAACACAAATATCATTATAGCAACAGACCCAATCACGTGACACAGCTACATGACTTGAGTTATCTATGTTAGTAAATTGAATTTGACAGTGTTTGAGGCGAAAAGGGGACTCATCCTTTACATAAAGATACAGTTCATTCAAGACCACATCACATTTGGCGATGTGCTGTCCAGTCAGGCAGATCAGATGATCAGCAGAGGAGGAGGACGACTCTGTTGTTGCGTCAAGCCGCCATGTTTATACATCACAGACAGGAACTTGAGTGTTTGGCCTTCAAAATAAAGTCAGGAATGGAGCGTTGGTACAAAAGGGAAAAAGTACTACTACTAACAATTATATAATATTAACAATAATTATTAAATATAATAATATGCCTAACAGGAAGAATAACAGTGAGTTCATAAATAGCGTAAAATATTAAAATATACTTATAAAACGGACAAGTCAAATCAAGCAATCTGATTGGTGAGCGTATATCGTATATCACGGGTAGAATTGTAGTTACTTTTCATAACAAGTCATGTATCCCTCCTCGTCTGAGAAAAGCTACAACCATTACAACTGTTACATTACGTCCGTTACAAAACTAACTAACTAACAAAGCTTAAGATGGAAACATGTAAGCGATAATGACTTATTGACCGTTGTTAAGGACGCTCACATCTGCAGAAAGAAGTCAGGTCGATTTAACTGTATACCACGCCCCTTAACTGTGATATAATGACCATATACCACGCCCCTTAACTGTGATATAATGACCATATACCACGCCCCTTAACTGTGATATAATGACCATATACCACGCCCCTTATCTGTGATATAATGACCATATACCACGCCCCTTAACTGTGATATAATGACCATATACCACGGCCTGTCGTGAGCTATTGCTTAAATATATCTTTACGATTTATTTTTACGAATAAGCATTCTCGTATTTTCTCCATTTTATACTTTAGCTAAGGACACTACATATAGCATTTAATTGTTATTTGTCATGTTGTTCTTGACATCTTGACAATCTTCCTTTATTTTATTATTATATGTTTGATATTTGATTTCCATCCTGATAAAAAAAAAAAAAAAATCAAATAACAGAAAATACAGATATTAAAAATGTTTTCACATTGTTTTACTGTAGTAACAGACACATGAATAGAGTAAAGACATGATCAGACTTGTCTTGTCTTGGCAAAAGTGGTCTGTAGACAGAAAAGGGTATTTAAAGGGGGCACACAAATATAAACAGCGATAAAAATATATTTATATATTTAGTGAAATACATGTGTTAACACTGCAACTGTAAATGTGGTCTCTTATAAACCTGTAAAGTTTGGGAATTGTGTGTAACATCAATACAAATAAATTAACTAATAAACAAATAAATAAATAATAATATTAAATAATAATTACATTACATTTAATTATTTTTATTTATTTATGTTTCCTCTTCCTCAAAGTATCTTTAAGCACTACATCAATATTACGTTTTATTATTATTATTATTAGTTAAATTCAAACAATTAAAGATGAAAAATATGTACTTGTTTTTGTGGGATGCTTTTATGTTGAAAGGTCTAACAGGAAGTACAGTGCATTCCGGTTTTCTTGACATCACTCCAATCAAACCAAACCCATGACAGAATCAGGCAGGCGGGCTAACAAGTTGACTGTATATCTGTGGTCAACAGCTGGTAGAAAGAATATATTGTACTCTGAAGTTAACGTTAACTGTCTAAACTTTAATTTTGTCGCCGTTTGGTTGAAGACGAAGCTTATCTACCACCAACTGAAAGCAGTAAATATCTAACGTTAGTAATAAACAGTAACTAGCTTACAGTTAGCAGACAGACGAGCCTCCTGGATATTTACAACCGCTTTATCTTCCGAGAGGCACTCGAAAAACCTACCGGGACACCTCTACGAAGCAAAGGTAAGACACAAATACAATATAAACGCAACACTGCCTTTCCACCACCTGTTAATGTTGATTAAAGGCAGTTAGCCTAATTGCTAATTTGCCAGTTGGCAGAAAACCCTCGGAAGTGCGCTGGATGTTGATGCAAATTCTACGTAGTGGCCAAACGGCGGTACTACAACTCAAGTGACGTCACTGGGCCTACAAATACTGTTTTCCCATTGACTTACATTGAGCAAAGAGACGTCTGTAAATCAATAATATAACTTTTTATGGGCTAATTAAACTACCCAACACGAACACGTTTATAGCCCTTATTTGAATCATTCGGGTCTAAAATGCGCTTAAAGTTGAATCCAGAGTTATTTTCTCTCTCCATTCATTTGACACATGGGAGATGGGAGGCTGGGTTTAAGGGAAAGCTCAACTGCGCATGCTCAGTGGGCCCACATACGGGTATTTTTGCTCTTCATGCGCCACGTAACTCATCGAAATGAATGGGGGTCTCTTTATACATCCATGGTTGACAGCGGTGACTCTGCAGTCGGGCATTGCGTACTATTATGTAATAAACCAGGTTGTTAAATGTTAGGTGAAGCAGCTGCTCCATCTCCATACGGTTCACATGCATCTCAGTGTGAACATACTTAGGAATAATCTTCATTTAGTTACAAGTGTGTGATGTTAGCTTCCCGTGTAATCAGGACGCGATGTGCTATCCAGCAGAACATTGCTTAATCATTCCCCGCAGCCTCACTGTAACTAGGAGATGTGTGGTAGGAATGGTGCATCTTTTTGGCTGTGCTGTGTGATATTACCTCAGTGATGCAAATGTTGCTGCTTTTCTTATCCCAACTCCCCAGCTGTTTCCCCCACCTGTCCTGCACCAACCTCAAACATCCACAGATTCAAAGGTGTTAATGTCATATGTAGAGTAGCTTCAGTGTAGTAATGGCAATGGAAATCTTAAATGTCCCATGTCATGCTTTTCTGGTTATCACCCGTCCCCTCGTGTTATGAAGGTTGTTCTGCATGTAAACGGTCTGCAGAGTCACAAACCCTCAAAGTACACCCTGTAGCGAGTAAAGCTCTAACACAGAGAAGACCTGTCTTTTTCCATTGTTTACTTCTTGGGTATAGTGACGTAACAAACTCCCAGCCAGGCTGCGGGTGTGTGTGTGTTTCGGGCTGGGTTTCGCTGTCTCACAGACGGCTACTGGGCTCACAGGGAGGGGGGGGCAGGAGCTCCAACACCGTGTAGGACAGAGAGTGAATACACAAACTATACAGAGATGCTGGATGAGAAACCAATGAGACTTTGGAACATTGAACAATATAAATCTATTCTAGTCGACCTCAACAATGGAGTTATGATCAGTAGAAATGGCCGTGACATGGGACCTTTAAGTCCCAGGCTCCTTCAGCAATGCAACATAAATATATATAAGACATAAGAAGAAAACTGAAATAAAATAGTGCAAGAGAATGTTGCAAAGACCAATGTACAGGTAAATGTCTAAGAAGTCAACTATATACATGTACAATAATAAGATGAGCTAAAAACAGAATCTAAGATTAAATAGTACAGGAATAAAATACTCCTTATTGTAGTTACAAATAAATATATGGAATTCAACCAGATGGATGCTGAAGGTTATGAAGGCTTGATATCATGTATGATGTTGCAGTGTTGTATGTCCGCTGCCTCCTCTGCCCTGGTGTCTGTTTACACTTTCACCTGACAGAAGAAACGGGACGCTGGCTGGCAGTAAGAACGGTTCCTTATTCAGACAATCAATGCATCCGGCTGCACATCCTGGTTTGTTTTCAGATATCTGATATCAGCGTCTAAAGTTGTTTACTATAACTTTTTACGGAGCCAACTTCTCTGGTCTTTAGACGCTTACTTGTGACAATAGAAAGATGAAGCAAACTGACCTTAGGTTTTATGAGTGAGTCTATTCTGGGTAACTGTCCCAATGTAGGTCCTGCCACTCACTTCTTTATTTCCATGTTTTCCATCCTCGTTTTGCTGAGATAAAGGCTCCGGGGTCACAGGAGCTCATTTGTCCGCCAAAGAGGTTTCCATTCTGCCCTTCACGAACCACAGCTTGTGGAAAATGCACGTGGCTTTAATTTGAATGCAGAAGTATTTCACTTTTGCCTTTTATCTGTACCTTGCCGTGGGGACACGATACATTTCCCTGCTGTTGGACGAAAACAGGCTTTTTGATTCTGAGACTCTGCTCCGGGAGTATATTAGTATTGACATGCAAAGGAAAACAACAGTATCTTGAGTTGTTTGGAAGTCTTCTAAATATCTTTAATGATACACAACAACACACGTAAACTCAAAAGTTATTGAGCAATAGCTTCTCAATTTATCAGTTAACATTTTTGCAAAAAATACTATTTATTGGTATCTGGTTGAAAGTCTTTTTTGGGAACTAATGCCATGGAAAATGTGCTTTAGTGGAACATTTACCATGAGATACACCGTTATGTTAATGAACTGATTCATGATGCCAAGTGCTGGGACAGAGGACTGACTTGTTGCCAGGAGAGAGGCCGTTTCTTTGGACACTAGTAACAATGCCTTGTCATCGCAAAGTGTTTTGAGCGTTTTGATTAATCTTTCCTGCAATACATTAAGTAAACAAGGTAGAGCTCACGGGTGGAGTCTTATGTCAACAGGAGGTTTCATTTGCGTTGTATTGTTTTCTAGAAGGGAATAGACAAAAGAAGGTTAGCCTTGTGATGAAACATCAATTCAATTCAAATAGCTTTATTAGCATGACCATAGTGACATATGTATTGCGAAAGCTTTGTACAATTGTGACATCTAAACATCAATATACATATGAGATCTCACACACTGGCTGCGGGGGTGCTAGAGACGGGAGCACGTTGATACGACCGTCCGCATTTTACAATAAACTTCCGTTGGGTCGCTAAAAAACAAATATCGCAAATCGCAATATCTGTCAGAAAAATCGCAATTAGATAATTTCCCTAAATCGTGCAGCCCCCCCCCCCCCCACACACACACACACACACACACACACACACACTGATGAGAGACGACCTTGAACATAAATAAAGTCTCTTAGGATTAAACATTTTTAATAAATGCAAGAACAACAACATGTTATCTTTACATGGAAAACAATGTACTTTTTGAACATGAACTAAAACAAGTCATTAAAACAACACATAACAATTGAAAAAGTCAAGGTGAGTTTTTGATTATTGCCCTTGACTGAGAAAATATTGAAATGCGAGTTAGACACCACAGCAGCCTTGTCTCTCTGGGCCTCCAGACTGTCTCACTCTTAGAAGCCATAACAAACGCTGTGTTGCTCATAAAGTGAATTTAAAGCCAAGGCCAGAGCCTGATCTCCCAGCTGGGACACTCGGGCCACTGGCTGTGGGACGGCTGATTAGATGCATTTGCTCTGACGAATGCCAGATGTCCTCCAAGTGAGATAGTTGCCTCTCCTTTCTTGGATGTATCCAACAGCAGCACACACATCACGGTACATTCTGTCCCTCTTTCCTTTAGTTCAACAGTCTTTATCACCATCCGAAGCTTACCTAACAGCTCTTTTTATTACAATGCAAGCGTCTAATTGTTTCAGCCTTCATTATTTCAAGAGGTTTAACTACCGTAGGGCATCAAACAAGACTGTACAAACACACCTTCAATATGTCTGCCTGGTGAAGTAAGGGTTTAATGGAGAGAGTGGTTGCTAGCTTTACAACAAGTCCACTGCTGAGGAGGGTGTGTTGCTTGTTAAAGCGCCTCAAAACTCAACTAGAAGTGGCTTTGGATACAATACTGGCTTCGAAACATCTGTAATATAGAATACAAGTATCATCTCTTTAGTTTTCTATGTCTCACTGACTCAAACTGCTCACAAATGAAATCATGTCTCATGTGAATCTTTCTTTATCAAGTGATTCATGGACGAAACCTTAATCTACTGAATTTCTTACACCAGTGTTTCCGCCAGAGCCGGGCTGAGAGGGCGTCCACCCCGAGAGGTCGTGCACGTGACTTTAATTTTGAATTGAACCGTTTATAGATACTATCTCTTTACGTATTAGTGATGGGAATTCCGGCCGGATCATTTGGCTCGGCTCACTAAGAAGAGCCGGCTCTTTCGGCCCCTAAACGGCTCTTCATTTGACCGCAGTTTCCATTACATTACATGTCATTTGTTAGACGCTTTTATCCAAAGCGACTTCCATACATTCAGTACTGTGGACAATCCCCACAGCAACAGTTTGGGGTGAAGTGTCTTGCCCAGGGACACAACGACATGCTGACTGCAGTGGGACTCAAACTTGTTACCCCCTGATTCGAAGTCCAGCACACTAACCACTGAGCCACGGAGTCTCAGTTTCGCCGCTGCGAGGCTCCGGCGCTCGCAGTTCACGCGCGTGCTCCACCAGCACCCCTCGTCAAGGCTCGCCGGCAGTACACTTTCCGTCACAGGAACACGCTTTGCTGCCGGCGAAAAGAATCCCACCAGACTAAGGGTGTCAAAAGACGGCAAGACGCCCCCCTGGCGGAAACGCTGACTTACGCCATTTTCCCAAGCTGTAGTTTTTTACAGTTGTGTGGTAGCATGTGTCCTTCAAACTGGAAAACATGAAGATGACTTTAAGATGGCCTACTTACTTTTCTGCGTATGCATGCATGATAATTCAGGCAGTCTGCAGGTAACCACAAAGTCATGTTAGGAACAGAGTTACATAACGCAGGAATTTCACAGGCAGACTTCATTTTCTTCTCATACATTCCAGCTAAATGATGAGTCATGACATCAACATCTGTCCATGCCAGATCGCCAACAGATGTGCTTTATAGAAGTCTACTTATTTCTAATTACAGTTCAACTGTGGTTGCAAAAATGTGGTGGTAAATCAGGCCAGCGTGTGTTTCAAACCTTCCCAAAAGAGTGCACTCACAGCCACATTTTCACAACAAACAGCACATTGACCGTCTTCTA